AAGAGTGAGGGGGGATTTGATAGCATCCTTCAACTTCCTGAAGGGAGGTTCCAGAGAGGATGGAGAGAGGCTGTTCTCAGTAGTGACGGGTGGCAGAACAAGGAGCAATGGGCTCAAGTTGCAGTGGGGGAGGTCTAGGCTGAACATTAGGAAGGACTATTTCACGAGGAGGGTAGTGAAGCACTGGAACAGGTTACCTAGGGAGGTGGTGGAATCTCCAGACCAAGAGGTTTTTAAGTTCTGGTTGGTCCTGCTTTGGGCAGGGGGCTGGACTTGATGACCGCCCCGAGGTCTCTTCCAGCCCCAGGATTCTATGATTCAAATCAGTGTCATTTCACCTGCTCCAGCTAATATTGGTGGAGACTGTCCCAGAACCAGGAGCAGAACCATCAGGGAGCCCCCACTCTCCTGATTCTCAAGGGACCCCTTGCCCAGAGCCCCTGTTCCAGCCATAAGCAGCAGATACAGGGCGGGTAGAGAGAGGCTCTTCCAGTTTCCCCAGGGACTATGGACAAAAAGCAGTTCCAGGGGCCCCAGTGGGCAATCTGATCTTTCAAAGAGGAAGGAATTCCCCATTTGAGCATAGGGCTCTGGCGAACGAATTGCCAAGAGCTGTATCCCCCACTCCCTGGTGCCCTCAGAGCTGCGCATTAGCAGTGTCCAAGCACACTGGGTTGACATTAGCAGATGAGAGCGCCTGCCCTACTCACCATGACCTGCACTTTGGCTGTTGGCGCTCTCTTGCCCTGGAGCCCACAGCAGGTCGTAGCTCCCCGTGGGTGCTGGGCTGCCTTCCATACTCTACTTCAAACAGGAAATGACACAAGCAAGGGACCCACTCGCATTCGGCAACTGGCAGACACCCCAGTTTCCCTGCAAACTGCTCTCCTTGGTTTGCTCCACTCAGAGCTCCCCAGCTTTCCTCTTGCCCCCCTCTAGCCCCATTCACAGAAATAGGAAGAGACCCAGAGGCCCCCTGCTGCCCACACACCAGGCCCTGCCCAGCACAGGTGGGACTGTGTGGGGGACGGTAGATGATGCTCTTACCTGTGCCATTTCTGGGGGAGCCCCTGGCATGGCCATCATTTAGCTGGACCTGGATGCTGCCCAGGTGGCCATCAGTCATGTGGTCAGAGGGGCCATGGCCCGGCTGCTTCAGCAAGTCTCTGAGTGT